AATATCTCATGTACACCTTGTGTATGAGTACACATGAGAAAATTAGAGAACAAAACAATATACTGAAGACAATAAGGAAAATAAAAGTTCATAGACAGGATAAATCTATGTGGGCTGGATGATGATGATGATGATGCGAGCAGCAATAATAATGGCTCAGGGATGTTTCTAGAGTTCGAGATGGCAGGTCTGCACCACAGGTAGCTGCAGTTGAATTTTGCTGAAAGACAAAATGTTCCTCAGGAAAGGTGGGGTAGGAAGCCAGTAATTTGGTGGGACTGTGGATTGATTTTCTGATATCATCTTTGGATCGTTATGTAGGATGTACGCAGCATTGGCTCTTCTCCAGTTCTGAAAAGCAGTGATGATTCTTTGAGGTTTGTGTAGCAAATTTTGGTCAGCAGCTCTGCTACTGCATGTTTTAGCTTCAGATTTGACAGAGGGGGCCTGAGGTCCTGAGAGTTTACTATACTTCAAGTGCAGTTGAGGTGGTTTCATCACACTGGCCTGTCAAGCATCTGTCTCTCATTTTGCCACGCTTGCTTTTCCATTAAATCTGTTCTCATCATCTTTAGTATGAAAGAGCATGTGTGAAGAAAAATTAAGCAATTATTGAAATAATGGAACATTTGGGGTGGGGAGTAATGCTGTGTCTTTATGTAGTTATAGAGCTGGAATAAGATGCTTTCTTCCTATCTCAAATGGTACTCACTTATTGAAGCCTATGTTGGTAACTAAGGAATTAAATGAAGTTAGATGGCCTCAGAAAAAGCATTGGCTCACAGTGTTGGCAGATTTATCTTCTTGAAAGTTCAGGAAGTAATACAGGTAAATTGTTGCTCTGAGACAAATTCTGGCCACCTCCAAGGAGCTGATAGGTGAAGAGTAAGGGTGGAGAACAGCCTTGGGAGAGCATGACTGGGTGAAGTCAGCCACAGAACACCGTCAGTACCTGGTGGGTTGTGCCCACCAGGGAGGAGCTTGGGAAGTCTGGTATATTCCCAGGATACTAGGAAGGGAAATTTCAACAAGGTTACTGACCCAGATGAATTACATCCCAGGACAATGCGAGAAATAGCAAGGTGGGATTGCTGGCTGGCTGAGAGTCATCTTTGTGAAATTGTGGGGAATGGAAACTTGCCAGAGAGGCGGAGAGAGGATAATGTCCTCAAATCCCCACAAAGGGGAAAAAAGTGGAGTCCAAGAACTATTGACCACTGAACTTCATGTTGATCTTGACCAAGAAGTGGAGACTGCGTGATTCAATGATGAGGCAAAATATTTTTTTTTTTTTTTGTCTTTTTCCATGTCCGGCAACGGGATTGCAACCCTCGGCGTTGCTCCCGCGCCTCGCTCAGCCAGTGAGCGGGAACCGGTCTGTATGTGGGATCCGAACCCTCGGGCGGGAGCGCCGCCGCGCTTCCCAAGCGGCGTACTATCCAGTGCGCCACTGGGCCGGCCCCGAGGCAAAATATTTTTAAAAGAAGTGACGATTGTAAGAATCAGCCAGGGTTCATTAAAGACAGATCATGCCAGGATATCCTGACTGCCTTTAATATTGTTATTACACGAGCAGACTAGGAAATCCTACAGGCATGGCATGCCTAGTTTTTAACAAGGCATTTGTTAGTCTCTCAGGGCATTGTAGATGAGAGGGATCAATTTGGACTGGGTGATAGTATAGTAAGATGAGTGCTTAAGTCTTTGAACTGTCATGTCCACAGAGTTTGGCCTCATAAATCTTTGGCAAGTTACTTACTCTGGGAGGTGTAATTAATTCATTGAATAGCAAGTACGGAATTGTTATGTCACAGAAGCCCAGTGGTAAATTGCTTGGAGTTTTGGAACCATTTTTCTATGGACACTGTGTTTTTCATAACAAATTTTGTGCATGAGATAGAACACAAAGGCCCATTGAACTTATTGTGTATGTGCATTGGAAGAATTTGGGTAATAGGGATATTCTGTAAGACCATGTCTTAGAGTAAGATGAGTTTTGAGCTCCAATATGGAAAACCAAAGACATAATAATCTCCCTCTACTACCTGGGTAAGATGACCAGGGGGGATGGATAGTGTGGTAGGAAGGAACCACCTTGCTCTCTGTGGCATTGATGGGAGATCCTCCTAAGGGTTGGAAGTAAGAACTGTGTGGACCAGGCCTTCTGCTGTCGTTGTCACCCAGGGCCCAGAAGTGTATGTCCTTGAGTAAATTAAAGAACACTGGAAACTATTGAAAGTTTTTAAAGTAGAGGAGCAACACCATTGGTCAGATTTGTATTTTAGAGTGTTTGCTCTAGCTGCAAGCAAGATAATGGATTAGAGAGGGCATGACTTACAAAAAAAAATTAAAAGACTGGCAGTAACCCAAGTGAGAGAGAACGGTAGTGGTAGGAATGAAATCAAGTGGGTACATTTGAAAGATATTTGGAACGTAGATTGATATGACTTGGAAATAAATCTAATGTGGGAAAAAGGGGAGAGTAAGGAATCTAGAAGAGATGACTCCTAAGTTTCTGACTTGGGCATTTGAGTAGATAGTGGTACCATATATTGACATGGGAAACAGTATAAAGAAAAGGCATGGGAGGGATCAGTTTTGGCTGTGAAGTTTTGCCCCTGTGGGACATCAGGGAAATATCCAGTAGACAGAGCAGCTAGATGCATGGATCTGCAATTTGGGAGAGAACTCTGGGCTAAACATACAGTGCTGAGTTTGTTTGACTCCACTTGCATCCACCAAGTGTTTTTATGTGTGGTTGCTCTCTAGACACCTTCCATCATTACAGAGATTCTTCAATGATACCTTACTGTATAGTTATTTCCTCAAGAGTATAATCTCTACTAAGGCCATATACTCATTCAATTTCAACTGTTCAGTCTACATGTAAATGACTGGGATGATGTGATTCTGGTTCCATTCAATTATGTCTATAATAAGTAAAGAAAAGAATAAACACATCAGGCTACCCTAGATATTTCAAGGCATTCTGCTTCATCATTAGTCATGATACTACCCTAGACAAGTAGGGGTCTTATAAGTATCTCATGAATGAATGGTGATCTGCAATGTCAGTTAATTTACTTTAACTTGAGAAAATATGGTCTTAGAAATTGAATTTGCTGCTACATTCTGCAGCCCTATAAATCACTTTCCCTGATGCACGAATAATTAAAGAGAATAATCCATACGTTTCTGAACTTGTTAACATTTTTGAAACTAAACCAGATACTAGACATGACATTTTCCCGTTGCTGTCTGGAATTTCCATGCCTAGTGTCTAGGCTCATTCTGTTCCATTATTTACTTTGGCTTCAATGCTTGGCTGCTTCTTTCAAGTTGTTTGCTTTCAGTGTTTACAAAAGTGGATTCCCACAACCAAAGAAAGGATGGATAATGAGTCAGTCTGGAAGCACTATTTTTGTCATCATGGACTCGGGTCAATTCACCATAATTAGTGATATTTTATGAAAGTGACGTAGTACACCTAGGTGGTGCCATCTACTTGGCACTTCTCAGTTGGCATATGAAATGCACACATGCACACACACGGACACCCTTTTGCTGTATTTTAGTAATACTCTATTTCTGAATTCCATTGTAAGAAAGATAGAATGTAGTTTTAATGAAATGCAAGGCAAATGAATGCAGTCTGAAGTCTGGATTGCTGAATTAAGACAAGATCTGTATTGTCAGTGTGCTTGTGACTCTCTACCTTAAGAGGATGGAAAGCTTTATTGCTTTCGTGGTGGGTAAAGAGCATTGAGACATAAAATGGATGCAGTCAAAAGCCTCTTTGTCCTGTTGTTTGTCTGCCTTATGATTAAGGTGCTTTGATTAAGTTATAGACCACTGTAAGATTAAGCCTAAATCATGATGTTGTGTGTGTGGTCTTAGTTATTTAGTTTAGGTTTTTCATCATTAATTTTTGGTTAGTAATGCTACACTAGTGTCTGTCACTACAACATACAGTACACCTCCTAGGGACATTCAAATGAGGCACAGAACTCAAATTTTTCTTTTTGAATGACAGTATTCCAGTAGGAATTTAATGAATGTTTTTTGAATGAAATCAATGAAAACTTAGATAAGATTGTTGTCGATATAAATACTGTGTTGGCAAGTAATAAAAACAAGCATAGACTCATAATTCTCTATTTAACTGTTTCTATCACTAAACTTTGTTTATGACAGGAGTAGTCCTGTTAAAAGGATGGCTTTGGATTCAGATCTCAGGACCAACATTTTCTTCCTGTGTGGCCTCGGGCAAGTCACTGGATTTCTCTAAGTCTCAGTTCCTCCCTCTGTGAAGTGGTTAGCCCGCATAGATTTTGTTAGGATTCAGTGAGATGATATATGTCAAGCCTTTAGTGGCTACATGCAGTAAGTGCTTCATAAAAATTAGCTGCTATCATTATTGTCATTGTCATTATCATATCTGCTTCTTCAGCCTATAACCTACCTGAAAACTGTACAACAGGCTATGTTTGTCCCCTACATTGGTTTCTATCATATGGATTCACTGTTATCTTAGAGCATTTTATTAGAATCTTTTTCATCTTACTGTTAAAACTTCCCTATGGCTTTTCTGGGTATCTTTTGCTTCTGTGAACCCTCCCATCCTATTGAACTCATCAGTTCCGTAACTACTTGCAAACCTCAACCCATCTTTGATTCTTTGGAATATTTTATTTTGTAGGAGATATTACTCTAAAACTACCCTTTCTCACTCCCCTACAAAAAGCCTTCCATCCTTCTTGAATCTATTTAAAGCGCATATTTGATTCCTTTTGGCGTTTATTTCAGAAAGTAAGTGAAGGCATGGATGTCCGTGCAGCTCCCATCAGAGCTGATTATCCTCCTAATGATTAATTTGAAAGTTTATCTTAAAGAATCTGCCCTGTCAGCTGAAGGTCTACTATTTCCATTTCTGACCAAATTTAACTTTATTCATGTTTTCTTTTTGTTTTTGTATTTTCCATTACGCAACTTTCTTCGAGATGTGGATGAGTGCCTGCAACCAAACGTCTGCACAAATGGTACTTGTTCCAACCTTGAAGGCTCCTACATGTGTTCCTGCCACAGGGGCTATAACCCCACTCCAGACCACAAGCACTGCAAAGGTGAATACTGCGATCAAATTTCCCATTTGTATTTGAACTTCATTTAAGAATAGATTGGAACAACTAGCCTTAGAATAAGGAACCACACTACCTGCGTTTATTTTGACTGAGCTACTTGGAACATATTTTAGTTGGCATCCTTGAAAGTGGCTCCTCATTGTGGTTAAATACAGTGCATGTCTATTTACATGAAGGAAAACAATGTATTTTTAGACAGTGTCTGTAAACCACAGATCTATTTATTTAAAATTTTGTTCTGGTTATAAAAGCAATGCATGCAATTGCACAGCTCCGTGAATATATTAAAAACCATTGAATTGTACACTTTAAATAGGAGAATTGTATGGCAAGGGTATTATATCAGTAAAATTGCTGTTAAAGAAACCAATATACCCTCATTGTAGAAAATCTAGCAAATACAGAAAGGTGAAAAAAATAAAATAAAATAAGTAACAGTCTCATAATCTTGTTCATATATTCATTTATATCTCATGGATATTTTATGTAAAGATTATGTTCCATGTACAATTTTGCCAGTAGTTTCTTATAAGCATTTTATATCTCATTAAATAACTCCTTTCAAACATTGTTTTTAAAGGCTGTATAATATTCCAGTGTATTGCCGTATCAGTTTTCTTGCTGTTCTTCATGTGTTAAACAATTTTTTTCCAACTTGTCATTATTCTGTGAAAAAACTGTTAACCCTCTTTTATAAACGTTTTTTATATACCTTTTATAAGCTTTTTTTTATAAACCCTTTTTATAAGCCTTTATGAATCCTTTTAGGATTATTTCTTTTATTATCACTTTTATTATTTATAAAAGTGGAATTATTAGGTAAAATATTCTGATTTTTTTTACTATTTTAATAGAACATTAATTTCTAATTTTTGATTTTATATTTCTTGTTATTGTAAAAAGGTTTAGTATTTATTTTATATGCTCATTCCCTTTAATAGTTTCCTGAACACTTCTAAGTATTAAACATTTATTTCATACATTTATTAAACATTTATATTTCTTCTTTCATAAAATTCTATTAATATCTTTTCCTGTTCATCAGGGTTTTCATTTTTAAAATCCATGTATATGAGCTCTTTATATATAAGATACGCATAAACATGTGTATGTGTGTATATATGTTATATATACCTTTTTTGTGGTACATTGTTGTAATTTGTCCAAGGTCTGCCAAATTATTCTTTTTATAATTCTTTTTTTTTTAAGTGTTAATTTTTCTTGTGGCCAAATCTATAGATTTTCTTTCTGCTTTCTAACACTGCCTTTATACCTACAAGCACATTCTTTCAAAAAGGAAAAGAGGAAATAAGTAAAATTTTTCTTCTTTCCTAAGTAAGTGTCTCAGTGTAAGTGAAGGATCAAGGGTGATAAATAATTTCTTGCTATGGCAGTTAAGCAGTAAATGAATATCCTGATGTCCTATAAGAATTGAAGCATCCTCCCCTGGCAGTAAGGAATTCACAGGCATCTTAATTTGGTGCCTTGCTTCTTTTGTATAGCAGAATACCAGCTACTCCTAGTGGAGCATCTAAAATGGGCACGTCTCCGTTTTCTCCTGGTCCTTTCCCTGTTGGCTCACACCCACAGTTGTCCTACTGACTCTTTAAGCCAGGAATCTCCTCAGACCAAGTTAAACATGAGAATTTTCTAACAGGTATTATTTCTCCCCCCATACACTGGATTAATGATGGAGGAAGATCTCAAGCCTTGGAAGTCATTGTTAGTCTTTATTTGATTGCTCTGTCTAGTTTATTTTCATATCCTGTTATTTTACCTTCATTCTTCCCAATCCACCAGTTTTTTTCATCTGTTATTGATGATGACTCCTGTAACTTGCCCCTATTCTTCGTATTCCAAACCTATTTGCCACTGTTGCGTTCTTCAGCTTGCATTCCCTGACGCACCCAATTTGTCACTCACCCCTTCCCTGTGCGTATTCTGTGCTTATTTTGACCCAAGTACTTGCTCATGATCATCCTGCCTTTCTGATCCATCTTCTTTCTCACTGTTTACCTGAATTGTGGCTCTTCCAGAGGTTCACTGTGCAACCTTGGGCAGATTTCCAGACCTCATGTCATCCCTAAAATTAGGAATTGGGTTTATTAAGTGAATGACTCATTACCACTCTCTTGCTCTTGGCCATTGTCATCCCAGTGGAGCCTGCTTCTCTAATAGGTCTCCCTGGATCCCCAGAACTCACACCATCACCGTCAATCGATGCCATCCCTAGGAACACTCATTTCCAATCACTGTGGCCTCGACTCAACTGCTGCAGAGGCTGCTCTTCTTCCTTTCTTCTCACGTGTATCAGGAAACCAAGACTTTGCAGGTGCTGTGCTCAAAGGCAAATGTTCCTGATAGCTATAATCTCTCAGAGAACTTTTGCTCATTAGAAGAGATGCTTACCTGCAGCAGATAGTTATAGAGGATAAAACATATTAAAGGGCAGTATACTATCTCAGCTGAGTGATGAAGATTAACATTATTATTGATGTCATGTGAATATCGTGTACACCTGACATTGTTATGATGAGAGCACTTCACATCTATGCTATTCTTTCCAAAACCCATAATCTCAGTCTAATCATGAGAAAAACTTTAGATAAATAAATACTCTGTGGACATTCTACAGGATTCTGGCCTATACTCCTTAAGACAGTTAAGGTCATGAAAAACAGGGAAAGATTATCTAGAGAGACAAGACAACCATTTACCCTACATTGGATCCTGGAACGGAAAGAGGACATGATTGGAAAAACTCATGAAATCCAAATGAAGTGCAGAGTTTAGTTAAAAAAAAAAAAAAAAGACAATATATCATATCCTAGCTCTGACACTTAGAATCTGTGTGAGCTTGGATAACTTATTTAATACTTTTCTAAGCCTCACTCTTCTCATCTGCGAAAAGGGAACACTAATGGTATTTACTAGAGTTGGTGTGAAGAGGATTTGTGAGATAACACAAAGACAGAGGATTCATGGGGAGTCAGCTAATGCAGGGCAGAACACAACACGGGGTGGGGGTGCTGTTTGCTAAGTTAGAGGCATGAACAAAGTTTTGTTAAAGCCAAGAAGCGTGAGACTAATTCTGCTTGTGTGCTTCTGGGAAAGCGTCACCGAGGGGTTACTGTTTGAACTAGGTCTTAAAATATGGAATACTGATCAGAAACACATTTGAGTAGCTAGTTGAGAGGGTGTTGAGAGTGTTCCCAACATAAAGAGGTGACAAATGTTTGAGGTGATGGATGTACTAATTACCCTGATATGATCATTACACGCTGTGTAAATATACCCAAATATCATATTGTACCCCATAAGTATGTATAATTATCATGGGTCAATTAAGAAAAAACATTAAAAAAAATTCAGGGCCAGCCCGGTGGCGCACTGGATGGTGCGCCGCTTGGGAAGCGCGGTGGCGCTCCCGCCCGAGGGTTCGGATCCCACATGCAGACCGGTTCCCGCTCACTGGCTGAGCGAGGCGCGGGAGCGGCGCCAAGGGTTGCGATCCCGTTTCCGGTCACGGTCCGGTGCGGGGGTGACACTGAGGGTTGCGATCCATTGCCGGACACGGAAAAAGACAAAAAAAAAAAAAAAAAAAATTCAGAGACAGAAGTAGCTTAGAGGTTACCAGAAATGAGGGGAAGGAGAGGATAGTGAGAAGTTATTATACAGAGTCTGTGTTTAGGATGATGAAGAGGTTTTGGAAATAGGTAGAGGTAGTGGTCACACAGCACCGTGAATATAATTAATTACACGCAGTTGTATGTTCAAAAGTGCTTAACATGGCAATCCTTATGTTATATATGTTTTACCACAATAGAAAAAAAGGAAAAAAATTGCATACGAAAGGGAGAAAGACTTAGCAGGCAGAGGAAATAACACATGCCAAAGCTTGGAGGACGGAGATGGCTGCTGTCTCCACTTGGCACTTAACCTTGCCTCCTCCTCTGACTCTGACGGTGTCTCCCCATCACAGTCTGGGACAGGAGCAGGCACGATCCCCATCCTCTGCTTTAGAAACCTACATGTACACTAATAGTTCTGCTTGTTCCCCCACTAAAGCCTTCCCTTTTTACATTAATGACATCTTTGTCTTTAATTATCTCATAATCTTTACCGAAACCCCGTCAGCTCACGGCTGTCCAACAACCCAGATCGTAAATCTGTCTCTTTTCCAACATGCCAGCAACTCTGCCAGTCTTACCTTGTTGGTAGTCCTAAATACTGACCTTGTCTTCACATTACTAAATATACTGACATATTTTTTCAGATTGTAAATATGTTACCTAATGTATTAATTCATTACATGTTTCTCTTAACTCTATTGTTTCTGTACATTTTAGTATTGTATGTCCCAAATTTATAAATACCTGGAGAGAATCTCTATTTTGATGCTGAGCTGGACTTGTCACAGTAATATGTGCAAAATTCTCTTAAAGAAATACCTTTCATGAGGAATAATGTTTTCTGTTCATCTCCCAGCACAAAAGAAAGACATTTGTATTGCATGCCTATTTTATTAGAAAGCTTTCTTTTGTCTCAGGAATTTTGTCCCTCATCAGAAAAGAAAAATATTCTTTTTTTCCTTTTTGTCTTTTTTTTCATGACTGGCAACGGATCGCAACCCTCAGTGTCGCGCCCGTACCGGACCGGGACCGGCAACAGGATCGCAACCCTCGGTGTTGCGCCCGCACCTCGCTCAGCCAGTGAGCGGCCGGTCTGTATGTGGGATCCGAACCCTCGGCGGGAGCGTCGCCGCGCTTCCCAAGTGGCACACTGTAGCAGTGCACCACTGGGCCGGCCCAAGAAAAATATTTTTTATCTCTAGAATTAAACTGCCTCTGTTCCTCTGGGTCATTTTAAAGACCCCAAAATCACCTTGTTCAAGATACTGGTGTTGCCTCAAGTAATTCCAAATGTGTGTGTCATTACTTATAATGAATTACTTCTGACAGTCCTCCCAACATAGATGAGTAACTTATGTAAGATGTCTGGCATATCTTGACAGTACTTGGAATGGAGGTTATATCCTTGCTGCAAACATCTTCATATGGGAATGCTTAATTTGTCATCTTCTATGAGAAAGTCAAAAAGAGTCCAAAGCACTAAAAATGTTGTCAGACATTATATGAGATCCAACCAGCTACAAGAGCTATTGTTGGTATTAAGTTCGTGAACTGATGTCTCAAGTATTTTATAGAATGTGCTGAAAGAAAATATGAGGTAGGCTGATCTTTGTTGGCAGCCACTCCTAAGACTAATAAAATAATCCTTAAAGTGAAATTCAGCTTGCTTACTTAATTTCCCTATGGACAGTCAATAGTTGGCAGCCAGGAATTATTTATAAATAAAAGGGACCAATAATACAATCAGTGAAACAAGTAAAAATTTCTAGTCAACTAAAGTAATTGGTATGAAAAATCAAATAAAATAAGAATTTCTTAAACTTCAGTTACATTAATAATTTGTGTGAGCTATTTCAGGAAACGTGGGATAACCTAACACCTTGCTTATATCAGAATAAAATTCAAAAAGTTAGTACCTCATTAGAGGTTAAGAAATACAACTTTGTTCAGAAAACAGGTAATTGTCAATAGCACTTGAGGGAAAGGTCTGTATAGTTAATTGAGTTTTCCTGGCAAAAACATTTAGATGCATTATAAGTAGGATATATTTATTTATTTATTTATTTATTTTTTATTTTATTTTTTTTTGTCTTTTTCCGTGTCCGGCAACAGATCGCAACCCTCAGTGTCGCCCCCGTACCGGACCGGGACCGGCAACGGGATCGCAACCCTCGGTGTTGCCCCCGCGCCTCGCTCAGCCAGTGAGCGGGAACCGGTCTGTATGTGGGATCCGAACCCTCGGTGGGAGCGCCTCCGCGCTTCCCAAGCGGCGCACTAGCGCAGTGCGCCACTGGGCCGGCCCGATAAGTAGGATATATTTAGAAGAAAACAATGGTCCTACATTGAGCACATGGTTATTTTCAAACAAATTCTGCTCATTTTATTTATTACCCCATTTAGATTAGGGCTCCTTTCTCCCCCTCTGCATATAGAGATAGTGTGTTTTTACATCTATTCCCTCTGCTAATTCTCACAACAGACCTGTGCTGTAGGTGGTGAGGACCAATCCTACCATGTTTTCATAATCATAAGCTGACTAGCTATCCAGCAGGATGTGCCGAGGCTGTATTTGCACAGACAAGGCAAGACAGAATTATCTAATTAGGTCAGAGCACCATAATGGCCAAACAAAAACATTTGGAAACTAACTCTACTTCTCCCAGAAGTGTTCAAGTTATTGATGAAGCCAGTCCTTTACTTCAGTTGTGTGACGTTATATGCATGACATTTTCTAGGACACTTACTAAGAGTTACATTCATTCTCAGGCAGTAGCTTTATCTTCCGTCTAGGCATTTTTAAAAATCCTCACTTATCACTTTCCCCTTTGGTATTCCAGCTGCCATCATAACACGACCATTTCTCTTGGCTTTGTTTCTTTGAAAATGAGCTCAGCATTCTTTAACATAACTGTTTGACCTTACAGTTCAACTTCTTCTAAATAAAGTAGAAATGTCTGTTTCCTTCCATAACTGCCTATATTTTGGTTTGGTTTTGTAAGTTCTTGATAGAGTTTTATTTCTGCCCTCTTTCATTTGACTCAATGGGTCTGCTGTCTGGTAGCCATTATTTCGTGCTTCAGGTTCTGTCTTCTGTTTTCAACTCTGAAATATTTCATATTGTATTTCTGCTGTATCCAAAGTATGAGAGAGGGAGGGTGAGGAGGTTGATGTTGTATTACAAGTAGCGTTTACCTATAAATTGATTGTCTACTTGTAGTTATTTCTTTTGTACAGTTCAGCCTACTGAGGTTGATGCAAGGAGCATTGGTGGGCTGACACATACTAATGTTTATCGTGCCTCACATGAGAAGTGCTCTTATTTTGTAATAATAACCTTAGAATGCATTGCAGAGAGCACTGCATTCCCTGGATATTCTCTTTTTCAAAACAGTTGTCATTGCTTGTGTTTACAGATATTGATGAATGTGAGCAAGAGAATTTGTGCATGAATGGGCAGTGCAGAAACACGGAGGGCTCCTTCAGGTGTACCTGTGGACAGGGGTACCAGCTGTCGGCAGCTAAAGACCAGTGCGAAGGTAGGAGTCTGGCAGCGTGAATTCCTGAGATTTCAGCTGAAGGCACCTGGTCTAAAACTACCCAGATGATTGCTTTATAGTGCCAGAAAGCCGGGGTCTTTAACATAAATGAGGAAAGTCAATAAAACAAGGTGGAAAATAGTTAAATTTGAAAAATATGGCATTAGTGACCAGTGGCTAGGCATTAATATTAGGAAGAAAAATTATTGCTCTCTGTGTAATTCTTTACTACAGAAAGTAATTTCCATTTAAACATTTCAGTTCATTTAAAAGTTTTACATGCTGGAATTTCAGCAATTAGAAGGTCATTATATTGGCTTGGTATCATGCTGTGGAATGTTAATGACCTTAGTTTTTGTGCGTATTTAGCTTTTTAAAGTTTTTGCTTTTTTGAAAAAAAATCACTGAAGAAGACTATTCAGTAAGACTAAAATAATGTCCCCCTTATTCTCAGAGATGAAGTTTGTGAAATATGTCCTGTTCCTACAGGTAATAGTGAGGATTCTGGACTTGCTGGGTTGACCTTAGACTTTTTCAAGAAGTATTTTATTGAATTTCCCATGGAAATAACTTCAGTTCCCACTAAGATATGCTTCTTAAGCTTGAAGATATTATATTACTTTTGACAAGAACAAGTATCCAGAGTTCTTGAAAAGAAACTTTGTTTCTTATTTGAAAACAGAATCCACACAAGACCAGCTGTATTATTATAAGGCAACAAATCATAGCCATATCTCTATTTAAACTTTGAATATTTAATCAGCTAAGAAGTTTCCTAGGATAGTGTAATACAAGTGACAGTATATGATGATAATTACAAAGGCTTCTACCAATATTATCATAACCTTCCCCAATCTTCCCTTTTTGGAACATCATTATAATACCCAATCTAGAAGTGGAAAATGGTAGGACACACACATGCACATATACAGATAAATTTAGCAATTTGTTATATAGGTTTTATGAGTCTCTGTCAAAGTTTTTATACTATATTTAATGACTCCTGACCCCAGTTACTTAAGGATTCAGTGAATGCCTACTGCGCATAGAAAACTACAAATGAATAGATAATAAAAGAAGAGGTCAACACATGATACAATAAAGCCACTATGTCCATAGTCCTTTCTTTTAAAGAGCCTTTGATGTTGCTGTCAAGGATAAGTCAGATACAACGAGAACTACTGACTTGATTATCAATGGGGCAAAATCATTTTAGGTGCCGAATGCTCTGATAGTCAAACCGATGCTGTGATGAGTGTGCAGAGTAATGGCACAGGTGTAGCAACTGAGGTGTGTGTTAGATCTTACAGAATCACATTAGCAGAAGCAGGCAGATGTTCTCAAATGTTATAAACACAGTCCATCAATGAACATGAATTGAATGCCTACTCATAAAATGCTAAGTCATCTAAGGGGTAATAAAGGATGTGGATACTTGAAATATATTAAGTGCCACTTATGTGTAGATGTGATACTTGTATGTGTGGGATTCTGAACTCTGAATTGTGGTTACAGATGATCTCTAAGCCGAGGATGTGTGTGTCAAGGAAGAGAGATTCGGTGACAGTGTAGATATCAAATAGCTGAGAGAAGGGGAAGGGGCATTAGATTTGGCCAGAAAATCATTGTTGTTGTTGAGAGAGAGAAGCAAGGAGAAAGAATATGGAAGCCCAACTGCTTGGGGGCTGAAGGGTAAATTAGTGAAAAAGAAATGAGGACATATGTGCAGTGACACTTTAGATCAAGGATTGGCAAATGTTTTCTGTAAAGCGCTAGATAGTAAATGAATAAGTGGTGCTGTTTTTCAATAAAACTTTATTTATAGTAATAGGCGGTAGGCTGAATTTGGCCTATGGGCTGAAGTTTGCTGACTCTTGCCTTAGTCTGTTACATGTTTAAGTGCTTTTAAACTCAGAGTGTTATAGTTGGATCTATAAAAGAAATCTTGGAAGCTTTGGTGAGATTTACAGATTATAGCAAAATACTTGTCACCTATCAGTGAACAGTGGGATTAATATATACAGAATCCTAGCTCATTGTTTAAATTTTTAAGTTCATCTGGATTTTCCCTACTGGGGAATTATGGACCTTTTAATAGAGATCTGTTTAAGTCACAAAATGAAGACTCATGTAAGTTACGAACCAGATAGTTTATAGATCTCTTTTATGTGAATGATTGAAAGTATTTTTTGAAGCACCGCTTCTCTCTCTTGCTCATAGATGTTGATGAATGCCAGCACCGTCACCTCTGCAGTCACGGGCAGTGCAGGAACACAGAGGGCTCCTTCCAGTGTGTGTGTGACCAGGGCTACAGAGCATCTGCGCTGGGAGACCACTGTGAAGGTGAGAATTGCTCCTCATTTCAGAATCATAAAATGCCAGAATCAGAGGGAAATATGGACATCATCTCAGCCTCTGTCCTTGAGCCCAATCTTTTGACCTCACAATTGAAGATGTTAGTACCTGCGAAGCATTTTTCCCGTGGTCACACAAATAGTGCAAAGAAGGGAGTCAAATCCAGGTTTTCTTTGCAAGGCTCAGTGCTCTCTTGTAGAATTGTGCCAGCTAAAGCTGTCAAGAATCAGTTTCACTTGACCAGTTACAGATGGTTTATCCTGGGTGCATAGTTCTGAACTATAACACCTTATTTATGTAGGAGCAACTTCCAGATGTTCCAAATAAGTAAATACAACTCCATTTCCAGATAACTGGAAGGTTTTTAAGAGCCAAATTTTAATTCAGTTATGAGCTTTTTGCATAAAACGTTTCTAAAAGATATCCCTCTCTGCAGAGTTCAGGCTGCTGAACCAGTCCTGTGTACAGAGAGGGGAATATCTTCTCCCAGCATGCTTCTCTCCCTCCTTTACCACCAGCCTGTCACTTGTGAACTTTGTGTGTGTTTGGTGTTCACCCACACAGGTTTTTTTTTTGCCAGCTCAACTGCTGCTTTACTACATCTAGAGTCTCTCAGTTGTGAAACCAGTAACGTGAGTGTGGCAAGGTTGTTTCCCTTGTGCAGAGTCAGAGTTTTTGAGTGAGAGTCTGAACCCCACCTTTGAGAGAAGTGGATGAGCTTTTTAGTGAATGGCTTGGGGCACACGTTTCAACGGCCCCAGATCATTTTTCATTCTCAGTCCACTTGGTTGGGAAAGATCCATTGTAGTTTATAGCATTCTGCATTTCTGACCAGAGAACTGGGCATAAGCAGTCACAAAGTGGCTCAGTCCCCATACCTTCCTGCCTTCCAGAGGGCAGTTTTGAAAGTTTGAAGCTGAAACATGGTGTTTGGAGAACTCTGTAACATATGGTTTAATGTTAATGATTCCACATAGTGGCATGCCAAGGTGGGAGGAGCAGTTTGTATTGGGCGGAGCCAGTCATGGAGGAATCTATTCTAGAACTAAGGTGCTGAAAACCTAAACTGACTGTCAGCATCTTGTCTGCCCTGCTTCTTGCCAAGCCAAGAGGGTAACCAGTCCATTTATCAAGTCTTGGGTAACCAATACGCATCAGAGGGCGTGCTTCTGTATTTTAGCTGTTCTGGTGGGATCGTAACAGAAGTCCCAAGTTTTTATTCTAAAAACATACATTGCATGAAAAGCCAAACAAAAACTTCTTCTTCTTTACTAATATATATTTTTATAAGATACAACTGTGTTCCATAAGAAAACTTCTTGTGGAATGCATAGTCAGACTCTTTTCTTTTAAAGTCAAGGCTAATTTCCCTCGTGTCCTGGGTTAAAAGTAGGACTGAAGTCGATCCAACTAATTCAGAGCTTCCTTTGAAACTATATTAGCACTTCAGCCTGCTAATTCACAACTAGTGCTGTTTCCAACCCTCCCAGTGGTGTTCAGCTGTAATTAACCGAGCTGTGACTGTTCACATGCCTCTCACAGCTGTGGGAGGAAGAGCCATCCTTCTTGTTGGCTTTTATATTTACATGTGTAATTTTCCTCTAATAACTCTGGCAAAGACCTTGTTTTCTTACAGTATTATCCTGTAATCCTGCTGGCCTCCTCTTAGAGTCAGTATCCCAAGTGTCATGCTCATTTCTGTGCGCTACTTATTCCCGCATGCTCGGTTGTCACTCAACCTGCGATGATGGGTGACCTCAGTTGTCCTGGTTTTTAGAGGTCTCAGGCATGTCAGCCTTCAAAGTCTCTGCCTCTGACTTTTTCTCCTTTCAGGCACAATCTTGAATACTGCGTCTACCTTAATGTTTCCCCAGCCCCTCACTGAGGTCGTCGCTTCCTGCAAGTCCCTTGCAAAGCTTGACAAAATGACTCATTACTTACTCCATCTTCCTGTAGCCCTTCATCCTTGGCTATTTCTTTGTGGACAAAATCAAAAACAATGGGGAGAAGTGATAGCATTTCTTCTCTTCTGGTTTTTCTTTCCAAGTCAGAGTCATTCATTCATTCACTTTTGTATTCATTCAACAAATATTTATTTAGTACCAAATTTGTGCCAGGCGCCGTTCTAGGCACAGGACATACAACAGTAAACCAAACAAGCAGACATCCCTGCCCTCATGAAGCTGACAGTCTAGTGAGGGAGATAAAAATAAACATGAATAAAGTTTCTATAAACATAATAGCAAAAATAGCAACCCAAATTTTCATTTAAAGGCGAATGGGTAAACACATTGTGGTGTATTCATGCAATGGAATACTACTCAGCAATAAAGAGGATAGAACTATCGATACACACAACAACTTAGATGAATCTCAAAAATGTTATGCTGAGCAGAAGAAGCTAAACACAGAGGGGACACAAGAGAACCTGTTGGGGTGATTGAAATGCCAATACCTTGACTGTGATGGTCAAGATTCATTGAACTGGGCTCTTAAAATAGCTGCATTTATTGTATGTCACTTATACTTCAGCGAGGTTGGAAAAATACATTTTAAAAAAGTGATAACCCACTTTAGTTGAGGCAAAGTCACATCAGCTATGTTTTATGTTTCAGGGTCAGTATTCAGAAACATTTTAAATTTTATTTTGAGAGAATGAAATCATAAGGCACTCTCTTTCTCTTTAGTTTGCCTGTGAGTGGTACAGAAACTAGTTAATTGGTTGAGTTGGGCTCTATGAGGCAGATTTAATTCAGTGTCACCATACGTAAAACAGACAGCGGGAAGTAGACTGCTGCGGTCTCCATATTCAGTTCTGCCTGGAACCTCTCATGTATTTTAGCAACAATCATGATTATTTGCAAGCGATGCCAGAAAATGCTAAATTCTGAGAAAAGAAAGTTTTGTTCCTTAGCTTCCTTCAGTGCTAATTATTTAAATCCTGCACAGACACAGCAGAAGAAGGACTCATGGAGTGTGTTAGGACTAATGAGCTCTGACTTGGAGTAAATGTGGTGAAAAACAGCCCTGAGAAAGATCTACCCCCACGTTCATTCAGCAAAGGGGTCATTAATTGTCTCACATGCTCACAGTCAAAGCTCGTTGTTGGTTACATACCCCACTTTTAGTTGCATGTATGCTATAAATACATACATTTTTAAAAAGCCAGCCAACATCAAACCTGTTTGTGATAGCTGCTGAGTAGGTGACTTCAGCTAGGCTTGTGATCTTGCTGGTTCCCCTTCCTGCCAAAAGCCCCTCCTCACCTTCTCTTCCATATTCCACCCTGCTGTCAAGACTCCAAGCAAGTTCTTGCTGTTACATGAAACCTTTTTTTGACCTTTAGGATATCATTTCTCTAAAGTCATATGCCCCTCAAAGTGGGTACTATTCTTTTGTCCAATAATTATACTTTGTGACAATTCTTATGTTAAATTGTTTTTGACTTATAAAGCAGTTTAGTATTTTATGTGTTCATTTTTATTAATACAATCCAATTTGCTTCTTTTTCACAGACATTTCTCTTTGGGGATAGGGACCATGCCAAATGCTTTTAAATTTATTTTTAAAGTAAAATATTTTAAATAATTTATAATGCATAATGCAGGATCTTGTATAAGAAGATCAAGTATGTTAAGTATGCTCAAGATATAGTTAACAATAGGTAATTGAAATTTTTTTATCCTCTGTCATCACCAAGAACATAACCAAGTATTGTTTGCTACAGAATTTTGACTTTTCCTCTTCCTATTAATTTCATTTGATGTTTAAAACTTCTGTTTATTATTCAAAACTAAAATCCTTTCAAAGTGTTTTATTTTTTCATATGATAAAAGTTAAAAAGCTGCCATCCATTTAAAATCATGCGTTGTAAATGATATAATATAAATTTATGGGATTTTTGTATGTAAAGATAAGAAAAAGTATCTAAGTTCCTTATATGTAGTTTTGTAGTCTTCTAAAATTTTCAAATTGGTTTGTAGATATCAATGAATGTTTGGAGGACAACAGTGTTTGCCAGGGAGGAGACTGCATTAATACTGAAGGCTCATATGATTGTACTTGTCCAGATGGATTCCAGCTAAATGACAATAAAGGATGTCAAGGTACTTCTCTCTCTCTCTTTTTTTCATTCATTATTTGCAAAGTCCATCAATTCTGTGAGGCTTCTTGATAACAGTCTGTGGTTTTACTATGTGCTTTATATATAAATAATCTATACCAATTTGTATTATTAAAATATCTTTCTTGGGTCTGTCACAAGTACAGGAAGGTCTTGCTTTGTGCAGCACCTTGTTAACAGAAACTCATGCATGTCAGAACCGTGTCCTCGCTTTGCATGGTTCTATGGTAGCTCAGATCACCTGTACTTTGATGTTCCTTCCATGGGCAAACCTTGGAACTTCTAGCTTTTTAATGCCCTTCATGGGCATATTTCATTTCGTCCCATAGGTGATATTTATCTGTTCTTTACCTGATCCCTGTTTTTATCTAGTATCCACCATTGCTGCCCCCCAAAAAAGCCTTGCTTATAATTTGGTCAAAATTACGGACAGGATTTTTAGTTTTTTATAGTGCTATCACATTGATCCTCCCAAACAACAGTAGAATGGATACAGGGTACTAATAAGAACATAGCAACGCAAAACAGGTACTAAAAAGAAAATCACAACAACAGCTTTAATTGAACACCTGCTATGTGCTAAGTACTATAGGTACCTCTTTTAATTCTTACGACAGTTTAAGAAGTAGCTTTTCCTATATCTATTTTGTGCATACGTAAGAAGTTAATTAGCATGCTCCTCTCTAATGAATGGTGGAGTTGAGATGTGAACCCATACCAATTACTGATACATTTATAGCTAATATAAAGAAGACAGTGAAATTAAGTGAATTTTCTCCCACGCTAATACATTGAGCCATTTTGACACCATGACTAAAAAATCAGATTGCCTAGATCCTGTGCCCCAACATTTTTAGCTATACCTGACTGCCCCACAAGTTTTTCTATATTTATTAGTCTTAATAAATCTATGCCTACATTTTCCATTGAAAATTCACATTTATATTTACCTTTACATCTATTTGTTTCTGATACTTGGATAAATATTATTTTTTCTTATTGTCCCTCTGCCACTATGGACCTATGTAGTGTATCCCAAAGTACAAACAAATAGAAGACTGTTGGAGTTATTCTTTATCCATGGCTGCTGAACATGTATGACTTTTTTATTCTGGATTGCCATAAACTATATGTCCTCTCGCATATCCTGGATAACAGTATTCTTGGAGGAGAGGATGATGTCTACTCTCTAAAATATGGTACTGAAATAATAATATACCCTATATCCATATTGCTATCTATGCTCAGCCATGTGTTACAGAGCTACAGAAGACATGAACCTTTTGCTTCAATGTCTTTTTTTTTTTTTTTTTTTTTCCTTTTTGTCTTTTTTCATGTCCGGCAACGGATCGCAACCCTCAGTGTCGCGCCCATACCGGACCGGGACCGGCAATGGGATTGCAACCCTCGGTGTTGTGCCCGCACCCCGCCCAGCCAGTGAGTGGGAACCGGTCTGTATGTGGGATCTGAACCCTCGGCGGGAGCACCGCTGCGCTTCCAAGCGGCGCACTGTAGCAGTGCACCACCAGGCCGGCCCTTCAATGTCTTTTGAGATGAATTCTCTTCCTGATCCCAAGATTTAAATATCCTGCAATGTACCTCATTTGATATTACATATATATTTGCCATCATGACACAGTAAAGTGAATTTAAATTTGTCAATTGTCCCAATGCAGAAATTAAAGGTGCTTGGATTTAATGCAGTAAAGAAGGAACATTTGAATTACAAATTTGTGTGAGACTATCTCCATTTTGGGACTTTTACATTTTAACAAAATGAATCTTGATTTATATAAAAATGCCAAGAGGTGCAAATGAAACAAAACAGAACAAAAAATCCTGTTTTTATGATAGGATTTTTGGCTTAAAAGCAATATTTGTTTCCTAATCCCTCTCTTGTCTCACAATTTCTTTTGGCTAAATAGAGGTAAAAATCAAGTCTTAGTATAAATGGACCAAGATTTATGCAACTTCTTGAATTAAATCACACAAAACTAATTTAGTCATATGATTGATTCATTAATTGCATTACTGTATTCTCTGAATACATTACATTTGTGTTTGTAGTTTTATCTCAGCTTTCAAATATGTGACTGCTACAAACATGCGATTTTATTGATTATTAATCATTATTAAATGAACATCATTCCCTGTCACATTTATTTTTGTTTTCCAGAATAAATTAATATGTCTGTTTGGGAAATATAAGTTCAAAGAAATGAAAAGGATTTCTGAAGCAGATCCTAGTACTGTTTTAAGAATAATATCTTCAGATATTTCCCATCACTTACCGTCTCCTCAAAGAGGCTGTTTTTACTTTAAACCTTACCTAATATTCCGAAGATAGTTCCATATTCAGTAAAGTATTTTCAATTGGAAGTGTGTTTAAGATCCTCTTCCCCCCTGCAAAACTAATGATGATATACAGACAGTATGGAAATTCTATGTTAATAGTCTCTTTAGGAATGTGTCAGGATGCATTTGAGATTCAGAACACATTTGAGTTTCACATTTTGAATTACACATGCCAAATTATGAATTTCTGTGGAATCATGGACCCATGAAAGAAACCCAACTTAAATATAGTCTGGCTTTCAGCTCTGAGTGACTAGCAGCATAGTTTAGAAATGCCTCAGTAAGTACAACCCAAATTGAATGCATATGTTTCTCTAGTTCCAGATATTCATGTTGTTTTTTTTTTCTTAGCAGTTTCCTGGAAAAAAGTCTGGGAATTTGTCTTCGATTCCTGTCATCAAACTTTTTAGACACTTATTTGTGAATCAAAGACTTCTTTTGAAGCGAGAACTTTGTGTATGTTATTCTCTGTGCGAAGTTGTAAAGCAGGTAGCTTTTAGAGGGCCACACTGAGGCAGAGGGTAAAGTACGAAAGAGGTCTCAGGTAGCCACTAGGGTTTGACAAGATGGATATGGGTCTTGGGCTTCATCCCCAGGCCAGTGGAATTCTATGGCACCTTTTTGCCAGATAGAGGTAACTCTGAGCAGCAGATGGGAAGGAAAGAATGGAACCAAAGGCTAAGAGGAGGTCAAAATTCAAAAAAGATTGCCAGTCTGAAGTTACTATTGGTAGGTACAGAACAAACAAAGAAGATATCAGAGATTTTATAAAAGATGTGAAGAATTTTGCAGAGTTAAATCATATTGAGAAAGACAAGTAGAAAATGATTTATCTTTTTGAAAATTAGTGACAGTAACAAGAAAGGGAGGATTGTTAAGAAATGTGAGTAATTCCTGCTTGGTTTCTTATTTTGATTGAGTAGTGGATAGGCCAAATAGTCTGAATTATATGGCAGATGGAAGAGTAAAGAGTTCAGGATTACTAAAGAGAGGCGGATAAACCAATAATTGCCAGAATTTCCATTGCACAATGAGATCAACAGGGCAAAAAGAAGAGCCCCAGGAGATCCGGATGCAGGGAAAGGGGTGACTTTATTGAGAAGGAGAACCACAGAGTTGGTGGCTAAGCATGTTCTAGAAGTCACTAGGAAGAATGCATGATCTGTATCTTTTCTTTGTTCCCATGAAGCTTTGCAGTTTTTCACATGGGTGAAACTGTCTAGGAGACATCGGGATGGAAAATGGCCTTAGTGGAGCTACCACCCAGATGGTGCTGAGGTCATATGGTCATTTTTATGACTCCAGTGAATTAAGAGAACTATAACCAATTACTGTTCAGTTAATAAAGAATGAACATAACTAAGAAATGTGGTGGTGGACAAACATTCATAAGACATTATCAATGTACAGTAGTAGGAGTTAGGAACTTGGAGCTAAAATATGCAGTTCTGCTCAAGGAGCTGTCAGTATAATGAGGGACACAGATGAGTTAACCAACAATTAAAACGCAGTGTAAACAGGCAGCTGCATGGAACTGTACCACTGTGAACAGGTGAACCACCCTGCAGGTTCCTTACGTTGCTGTCTTGGGCACTGTTAGCCAACATAATTACAACTGGTTTGAAAGAACATTTCACTTACACTAAACACTCCAGGTGTTATCGGTGTTTAGGAGTGGCTCATGACCCTGGCCATGGGGAGCATAATTATTCATGCTGAGGACAAGCAGAGGATAAAACAGTCACTGCAAGTGTAACTGCAGTATGGTCCATTCACGAATCTTTGTAACAGTAGCTGCACTTTTTGATGCTCCGTTGTGGGTCAGGCCTTGCGCTCAGCACTTTACCCGCATTCACTAATTTCATCCTCACCACACTGTGCAGATAATGAGAACTTCCCTGATCTTAGAGGCCTTTTCTTGTGTTTCATTCCTATTACCAGTGTTCAATGAAATATAGATTGGAGGCTATTTCATTTATATATTCAGCAGACATTTGTGATGTGCCATCTTTGAGCCAAACACTATAAATAAGACATGTCCAGCCTGGACCGTAAGAAGCCCATATCCTAGGGCGGATGGGCAGGGACATGGTAATGCGCTGCAGACTCCAGCAGAGTCGTGCACACAGCAATGGGAGAGGACAGAGGGACACAGCATTCTCACTGATGAAGAATATTTCTTGGAGTTGTTTGTTCTATTAGAGTGTTCCTCAAGCCTCTAATATGTCTAAAATCAGGGTAGCTTTGGGTTGAACCTATGAAATTGCTATTTTTGTAGGTCGAAAATGGTTGAACATTGACTGTTTCATACGAGTCATCCTTAATAGTTTCTTTCTCACCAGTAGTCAACTTATCCTGCGGTCTGTTACACAGAATATGGTGGAGTTGTGCCACAAAATAAATGTCCAGCCATTTTGTAATAGATTTTCCTTACCGTACGTCTGATGTCATATGAAAACAAAACAGATTTTTCAAAGTATTTGAAACTCTCTTTTAAATTACAGATGTTAATGAATGTGAACAGCCAGGGCTCTGTGGGCCTCATGGGGAGTGTCTAAACACAGACGGTTCTTTTCACTGTGTCTGCGAACAGGGTTTCTCGATCTCTGCAGATGGCCATACATGTGAAGGTAAGATAAGCCATAAGAAATGATACAGTTATTGTGAAAAAGCAGAGAGGAGATTGCTTTCTGTTTAAACAGGCAAAGACTGTAAGACATTAAGAGATACTCATAATTCAAGGCCGTCTAGCATATATAAATCAAGGTGACAGGTACTTGAAAGCAGAGCTCAGGGGTGGCTGGAATTTACAAATGGGATAACCCAAGGTTATGTTGGTGAAAACACTCACAGATGGTTCCGCTACTGGTACTGAGTTAAGGAATCAAAATGTGCAGGGGCTGACAATTTTAGGTGCCTGTAGGAGACCTACAGGAAAACTGTGGCGTGTCAATCATCTTGATCATTCTATTTATAAAAAATAATGTCTTGCTTGATTTCTCTGTAACATTGTTAACAGATTTTCTATAATTATTTGTCAAATATCCTTCCCTCTAAGCCAGTATATTTTCTTACCTGTCAGTATTTAGTATCCCCCCAAAGCTAATTAAGTTCTAAGATGTTAAGATAATATTATTGGCTTCCTGTTTGCAACCTCTATATGTTTGCAAGGATACAGCATTGGTTATTATTATAAGACTTGTATTCTCAATGACTTATTATAATCAGATAAATTGATGAATAATTCATTTGAACCTTTTAAAAAATAAACTGAGATTCCCATAATTATAATGTCAGTCCATCTCTTTCAGAATCTATGTTATCGAAACACGGCTATATTTTAAGGGAGTAAATTGCAAAAATTCTGTTCTGGGCCTAAGATGGTACCCAGATTCTTTTCTCTAAAAGATAGTGTAACAGGAAGTGTCAGCTCTCCTTGCTAGTACCATACCACAATGAAACTAAGCCCAGGACCAGCAACCAGGTTCATCTGAAACTAATTATTCTACTGGAGGAATAAACTGATTTTATAAAAAGCAGGAGATTGTTGAAATTGCTCTCCTGCTGAGCAGAGTAAGCATGGATGCCAGATTTGGCTACAAGTGGAAGAGAGAGAATGCAGGGTGGCGTTAGAGCCGAGAGGTTGAGGGTTTTGGAAGGGGTCAGAAGTTGGGAAACAGAGAAAAGCATCATCATAATGTGATGAGAGATTTACAACAAATCGATGCTTCAGTTGTTATGTGTTGAGATTTATATGTTAATTTTATAGAGTTTTGAGCACAGACACTGCATGAAGCATACGTTCTTCCGGAGAGATTACTGTATTCCCTAGCTGAGGATAGGTTGCTAGCCCAGCGGAGTCATTGCTGAAACATTTGCGGAATCCCCGCATTCCAGAAGGGGCAGGTTAGCTTCTTCGGTTAGCTCTCAATCACGGATGGCAAAGGCTTCCTTCACTGGAAAATGCTCCAAGTTGTAACTGCTGACGGTTGCGCCATGCCAAACTATGTTTGGGAAAAACATGTCACCTCAAATGCTCACTAGTCAAAGTTCCAGAAGAATGCACCAAATATAAATATATTCACATATATTTTGTATATATTCACGTCTTTTGTATTTACTAATTTTTATTTAATTCTGTACCTTTTTAAGCACCAATTTCTATAACTCGAGAGTTACATAGTCACTCTAATTTAGTTGCAGTTCTAATTTTGTTGGTCATTTACTTGGCAAAGACTTGAATTTAAAAATGTGTTTTTAGAAATCTTCTAGTGCTTTGCAAATTACTGTATTCATTGAATATACTCTCTCTGACACTTTGTCCATACTTTCTTACTCCAGAAACTGGATGATTTTCCAAGTAATAAAATATGTAATTTAGAATGTTATGCTGATATATGGTAGTGTAACTAGAAATCTCCCTAATTATTGGGCATGTTGTTCCCTTTCTAAAATAAATTCTGTAAGGATTTCATTTTTTATGGGCTTAATCCAATATACTAAATTGGTCCAGATTTTCTTTTGTTGGACTTAGACTGAAACTTACGGCACTGGTGCTATGTCCTGATTCTACCCCTGGCTGTGGTGTCAGACAAAGCCAGCTCATGTGATCAGGATTTAGCAATGAAGCTGATGTGTATATACTCGAATTAACATTGAGAAGTGGCTGGCACTCTTACCCATGCCTGTTCACCAACTTCCTTCTGAACTTCTGGTTAAAGCACCTGAAATCATGATGACACCACAGCTGGCATACCCTGCTCTAAGTAGGGCTAAATGAACCCCACATAGGTGAAGGAAGGAGGGCCCTGCCCTGATTTCCTGTGGCTTAGAGAGTTGTCAGCATCTATTCATAGTTACTGAACCACAATGAAGAGGCAAACACTGTAAACATGAATTATTTTAAGTAGCAAGTCAGGTTCTATAGAAATCAAAATGGCACTACTGGCTCTTTTCTTTTCCTTACCTGTATATGATACTCTGGGGGAACATACCTAGGAGCGGGAGGAGAAACACCTAGTTTCCCCTGTGAGGTAAAGAACAGTGTTATTCAAAATTCGAGTGAAGTGACACAGGTGGTGGGTGAGCAACTATTTATCATTTATTCATTCACTTGGCAAATATTTACTGAGGCACTGTTCCAATGGAAAAACACGCACAGTTCTTGTCCACATGGAGCCTACATTCCAGGAGGGGAATCAGGATAAATAATAGTACGTATAGGATACATTGTGTGTTTATATTGAAATGATACTTGTATAGCATAGTTACACTTTATGCATATAAAGAAGTTCAGGGTGCAGCGTGCCATATATAATACAGGGTACAGGTTATCTTCAGTGAATTACAGACTTAGATGTCAGAACATTGCAGGGAGCAGGACTCGTGTGGTTGACTTCCTCCTCTAGACTGGCCTTCCGTGTCCCAGGTAGAGCTCATCCCCTCCTGCTGCTGCCTGTTCACCCCTGGTCAGAGCTTTTATCTTGTGCATCAAAACAAAGGAAACATTTGAATTCTTTCATTCAGCTCACAGTTTCATATCCCATTTTACCTTATCTATGTGCTTAAAAAAATTCACAATGCTATTGCTCTTTTACATTTTCCCCTTTTTTATTGTAAAATTTTAATTCATATGAAAAACATTCATCATTGCGTTTGTAAGTGGACTCGGGGTTTGGTTTCTTCATCATCAGCAGAGCGTGTGTGAGGGAAGAAGAGCAGGGACGCTGGTGACAGTTGGATTCCTGACAGGCACCACGTCTGTGCCCTGACCCGTGGGAAGTGCCTTGTGACTTTGCATCTCTTCTTTCCTGTGCCTCCTTCCCAGCTGCCCTGGGCCAGGAGCAGTGGGGCTCTCACAGGCGTATGGCCAGGCTGAGTGAGAGCGTGTGTGACTGCATGGGGTTGGCTATGTCATGCGTCTCTAGGTCTCACTGTGCCCTCCACCCATTCACATGGTAGAAGGGCCATGTCCGTCTAACTGGCCCCAGTGGCACCCAGCATCACAGGTGGAGCACCAGTGGCTTACTTAAGGAACCTGGGCTCTTTTTCCTCTGTTGTTTACTGTGCTTGGTTAGTCGTGGCTGACCAGTCTCACAAACAATGACCTAAGTCACTCCCTACAGCTGTGTCTTTTAGAAAGCATTCTCATTCAGTGATTCATTTGATGACCATTTGCTAAGTGTCTGCTATGTGCCAGCTACTGTTCCTAGGTACTGGGGCTCTGTCAGTGAGCAACACAATGAAAAAGATCCCCATTTTTTGGAGGCAATTAACTAATAGATAAATAAACTATATGAGATGTTAGAAAGAGATAAACTCAATGAAAAGAAGAAAAAGTAGAGCAGAGGAAAGGGAATCTGAGGGTGAGAGTAAGAAGTAGGAAGCTGGCACCGTACTAACTAGGGTGCTCAGAATTGCCTATTCTGCCTCTTTCGTTAGATTTGTGAAAGAAGTATTAAAATTTTGCGAAGCCATATTAAGTGCCCCTCAGTTTAAAATTGCTCTTACACTGGCTAAACACCCATCAATAGACACAGGGGCATGAGATGGCCTGATGGGGGCCTTTAACCCTCTGCCAATGTGAGCTCTGTTGTCCAGACATGGGAATAAAAAAAATCAGAGC